GAATCATCAACAAGCCTGTCCCATGCCTGGTTGCTAAAAAAAACTACAGTTGTATATTAAATAGGCAAAGAAAGATGTCTTTTCTCTTCTATGTAACCTAGCCACAAAATGGGTAGGAAATTCAACCTAGGAGGGCAAAACCTAATATTTTGACAGTTGTAAAACTTTTTTCCCCAACCTTCTTGAGAAAGAACATGCAGGATGAAGCAAATTATTACAAGGTTAAAAGCAACAGGAGATCAAGGAGATTGGCAAAGCGAGAATGATTGGAAGGTGAGCGGGCTGCTTATGTAAGTAGCACACATAAACCGAAAAAAAAAACATACTAGCCAGACACAGATGTTATGATAACAGCAAGGGATATAGAGAAACCTCATGATGAAGCATGCCAAGAAAACAAAAATGGAGCATACCTGTATAAAATACATTGCAGCATTGACTGAAATATAAACAACCCTGAGCTTATCTGTTGGTAAACTTCTTGCCTGTTCATTGATAGTGAGAAATGAAGTCAGAAGTCTTCATTGATCAAAAGAAACAACCACATTTAAAAGTTGCACACCTCAGTTTAATTAAAGTCTGGCTAACACTAACACTAATACCATGCATAGAATTAGGAAAACATGCTGTTACCTGGTGATATATCTCTGCCCAGAAGAGAACAAGAAGTGTGTACGTAGAGAAGAACAGCAGTCCAGGAAGATCCAACAAGACCAATATTAGTACCTGGTTCAAGATGCAGCTGCCCGATTTTAGTATACAACCCCAAGGTTCATTGCTTTCTTTTTATGTTCTTGTCTTTCCAATAAACCAAACAGAGCCTTAGTGTCCCTCAGAACCCCAAAAAGTAAAATGGACAGTTAACAAGATGTAAAAAAATTCCGGATATTTTATGATCATATGTTTCAAAAGTGAATAGAACTAAGTGAATAGAACTAAGATTTGAACTAAGTGAAGCTTTACAAAACTAACCTTCGGGTGCAAAGCAAACACTTGATGGTGAAATCCGAAAACAATTGCTCGTACTGCAAGAGCAACACCAAACAATGACGACAAAAGAATTTCAAACTGAGAATTAAAGGACAGAATAACAGGAGAGACTCTGAATGGAAATAATGCACTGAGTATCACCTCCATTAACAATGAAGTTCATAAGATGAAAAACCTTCTGCGTGGTCCAACCATATTCGGGCACTCTCAATTCAATCCTTATTAGTTGAAACTGTGCATCACGAACACAAGCAATCAATTTAGGATACTCATAATAAACACTGTTCATAATTTTCTTGATAAACAAGTAGCACTTAGTAACCTGTGAACTAAATCCAGCTAGTTTTGTACATCAACAGCGACAGTTGTTGGCACTTAATTTTATCTCAAATTTGAACTATGGATATAAAACTACATCTAACCATGCTAATGTTTGATGTAATTTCGGGGTGATTGTATGAATTCCAGTTTATTGAAGATTCCGATCTCAAAATTCATACAAAATTAGCTACTGATTAACCAAATAAGAAGCTAAGCTAACAAGCACACGAATATCTGTAGTTCGTTGGAGAGAGATGGAAAGAGAAAGACCAGACCAGAGCGACGGAGGAGACAAGGGCGTAGGCAGCGCAGAGAGCGTAGAAGATGCCGTCCTGCCATTGGGTGTTCTCGTTGATCTCGTCCCACCAATTGGAGAGGAAAGAGGCGAGCTCAATGGGCGCGGAGGTGAATGTGAATGGCATTCTCGTCATATTGGGCGGGAACTCCTCCGAGGCCGAGAAGCTCAGCAAAGGTCAAAATGTTGAGAAGCGGAGAAAGGAGCAGAGAAACTCTCTGCCTAACTCGTCAAAGCAAAAGCACACAGCTCACACAGAGAGACTGAGAGAGGAAGATGGAGGGGGGCTCTACCAGAACTACCCCTACCAGACGGTCCAAGAGAGATCGAGATTGGGTGGGCTTTTCGGGGATTTGGAGGCCTTTTGTTTACACACACCACAGACCATGCTTTGGTCGCTCTCACCTAAGCTTCTACGCTCACGTCTTCCAGCCTCTATAATTCAATTCAATTCATTTTCTTCTTTTCTCTTACAGTCGCAAGTGGTGGTGGTTGTAAACTTGTACTCGTCTTACTTTAATAAACTATAACTGCTCTTATCCTCTCTCTCCCTCTGTCTCTCTCCGCGCATTTTCTTCTTTTTTTTTTCTTTTTTTCTATTTTCTTATTTGTGCTTATTATTTTATGCCGATCGATTGGCCAATCAGGGACGTTGAAAAATGAAACAGCCCCTTTTTTTCCTAAATTATGGGAAACGAGTCTTATTTACGATTTTACAAACATATGTGTCAGTTGACTAGACACTGAATCCGTTTTCTTACACTCAAGTTCAAATTCTCAGTTCCGTAAATTTGATGAATTTAAGGTGGTTTAGACTATCGCCTATATATATATCAAAAAATTTAATTATATGGTAATTAAACATGTTCAAACAGATTTTAAACTCGGGCTTTGATTTTTGAATTTTCAGGAAAATTTACTTCCACCATCAATCCGAAAGAAGAGACAGCATATACTTCTAGTTCCAAACAGTTAACCTTTTTTATAATTTTTAACCTGTCGCAAATTACCATTTCCCCTTTTTTTAACAAAACAAAGAAGTATACAAAAAAAGCCGCCCATGTGAAGACGTTATCGAAAATGATAACAGAAATAAAACATTCAGACTTGTGAATCATGAATTTTCTGTGTAACAAAAATTGTAACTTTTAAATACATAATTTTATGTCTTATGTCTTATAGTTTAAGTGGTTAAGAACGGTTAATCTTACACTTTATGTCTTATGTTCGAATTTCCTTGTCTTCGACATTACTTGTATAAAAATTAAATAAATAATTAAAAAAATATTGAATTTGAAACTAAAATTATATAGATGTGCATTATAAAATGAATGTGCGTGTGTTTGTGTTTTTTCTTTAACATGGAGTTTTGGCGGCAAAGAAATTTAACCAGGGCGCCTAAATTTGTGAATTAGTTGGTTTGAATTTAAAATTTTTGAAAACGCCTTCACCAAAAAACTTGAAGGTTTTTACAGCGTAGTTAGACAGATAATCACGTGATGCAGGTGAGGAGATGAGATAGAAGATTCGCTGATGAGGTGGGGTCCTCATCTACCGTCCCATACACCATTGATTGGTCAGCTAATAATTCTATTTTCACATGAAGGTGACGAGAAGTTTCTTGCCAGAATTACGTGGCATGGACGGTTTGGCGGTGTTGGGTTGCGCCAATTCAATTTCATCAAGTACAACACCACTAATTCTCCATGCAAGCGAGGACTTTATTCACCAATATAGGCGTACATGTAAACAAAATGTTGGGCCTCCTCTATTTTTCTGATGTAAGGTGATGATTTCTGTTGGTTGGTGGCATTGCGGTTTTCTATGTGCAGATTGAAATTGGTGTTCAAGCTTCTTTTTCTTTCTTCTATTTTCTTGTTGTTTTTCTTTGAGTTGTTCAAGCGCGAGTCTTTTAAGATCATGCATTTGTTCATATCTCTCCTGCTTGGGTTTTGGATAGTATTGGTTGTTTCAATGCTATCTTTTATACACTCTTATGGTGCTTATTATTTTTTAATAAAGCATTTTTTCCAACAACAAAAATATACAATCGATTGTCTAACTAAATTGCAATGGGAGGGGATTTCCCAATACACACACTACTAAAGTGTTATGGGGGGGTCGAACGTGAAGCCACTAATCTGCAAGTAAAGTCCCATTTTCCACTTAGCTATACCCTATTGGTAGAATCCCTTAATTAATAACAAGAACATTGTTTTTTTTGGGGGGCACCATACCACCATAGCTTGTTATTTTAAAACTTAAGTTGTAACCGCAAGTGGTTTGTGGATTAAGTAGTTAAGATCGGTAATTCCTGTAATTTATGTCGCTAACTTTGTTATGTAAAGAAAAAATGAAATAAAATAAGTAGATACTAAAATAGAGAAAAAAACAAAGAAAGAAAATGTAAAATGAGGTTGGAAGAATATGTGTCTTTCTTTTGTATGAATTAATTGGGTACATGCGCAGACATATGCAAAAATTTAAAGTTTCCCATTGCCTTTGACGACTTTGACTATATTTTAAAGCAACCCTTTGAATTGTAGTTTAAACTTGGAATAAATAAAGTAGATAGATGATAAATGGTAGAGTTGCATATCAATCATGCCAGCATTACATGTTAGATCTTGAACATGGTAGCTACTAAGTGTTAGTAATGCGATTTGATTTAATTATTGTGTCGTTTCCCCACATGTACATGCATGTGGTGGGGTGTGGACGTCGTTTTCTTGCAATCCGTTATCAATAGATCAGTGGAAAATGTAAAATTATTGATTTCCGAAAAAGGACATGTCGACATAATGCTATTTACCAACACTGATTTGGCATCAGTCAGTCATGTGCCAACGAAATGGTCATTTTAAAAATAATATAATATCAAAAAAATGGTCTATTTGCTCATCATCAAATATTGCAAATCAATATTTAAAAAAATAAAAAGAAAAAGAAAAAAGCTTGAAGGTGTTAAACTCTTATATAAAAATTAGAGACCGGGCGCATGCAAGCCCGTGTGACTATGTGATTGACTTCATTCGTTAATCTAAGTGCACCTTAACTTTAAAAAAAAATATGAAATTAAATTAGTAAAGCAGATTAGATTAGATTCTTTTATTAGGACAGAAGACACACAAAATCCCTTCTTAAGAATCGGGAAAAAAAAAAATGCACCTTTTGATAAATTCCATAAGATATCATCAACAACCAAAAGGGGATCCGTGGCGCAATGGTAGCGCGTCTGACTCCAGATCAGAAGGTTGCGTGTTCGATTCACGTCGGGTTCAATACCCTTACCTCCAATTTATTTTTTATTTTTTATTTTTCCAACTTCACAACGAGCTCACCAATCTCACACTTTTCTTACCCACAGCAGATCATCCCCGAAATCATTTCCTCCTCAAGTCTCACTCACTCTCCTTCTCTCAGCCCCTCCCAATCCCTCTGTAAAACCCTAGCCATCTGCCAGCCCCCATCTCTCTCTCTCTCTCTCTCTCTCTCTCTCTCAAAGCCATGTCTCTATTATCTCGCCTCCGCCATGCTACGTTCACCCACCACACTCGCCACCTCTCCACCGCCGCCTCAGTCTCCACCAAGGACAAGACCAGAGCTGCCCTATCTCTCCTCAAGGCCGAGAAAGACCCCACCAAAATCCTCGAAATCTGCAAAACCGCGTCCCTAACCCCCGAGTCTCACCTTGACCGCGTCACCTTCTCCGTCGCCATCAACAAGCTCAGAGACGATAACCACTACGACTTGATCCGCCAATTCCTCGACGATCTGTTCGTCTCCCGCCCCGACCTCAAAACGCAGCGTTTCGCTTCCCACGCCATCGTCCTCTACGGCCAGGCCGATATGCTCGACGACGCTGTTCGCACTTTCCAACAGTGCGATGAAATGGGTATCCCTCGGAACGTGAAAACGCTCAACGCTCTGTTGCTTGCTTGCATTTTTGCCAAGAATTACAAGGAGGTAAACAGGGTTTTTCTAGAGTTCCCAAAAGTTTATGGGATTGAGCCCAATTTGGATACTTACAATTATGTGATCAAGGCGTTTTCGGAGTCTGGTTCGACGAGCTCGGCCTATTCGGTGTTGGCCGAGATGGAGAGGAAGAATGTGAAGCCGGATGCGAATACTTTTGGGCATTTGCTTACAGGGTTTTATACTGAGATGAAGTTTGAAGATGTTGGGAAGGTGACGAATTTGATGGAGAAGCATAGGTTTCAACCTGGGCTTAATACATATAACATTAGGATCAAGAGTTTGTGCAAGTTGAGGAGGTCTGCGGAAGCCAAGGCATTGTTAGATGGAATGTTGTCTAGGGGTATGAAGGCAAATGCAGTCACTTACTGCCATTTGATTCATGGGTTTTGCAGGGAAAGCAATTTGGATGAAGCAAAGAAGCTGTTTAAGAATATGGTGAACAGGGGCTTCCAGCCTGATTCTAACTGCTATCATACTCTTGTTCACTTTCTATGCAAAGGTGGGGAGTTTGAGAGTGCTTTGCAGTTTGCTAAAGAGAGTATTGAGAAGAATTGGGTTCCGAATTTCGCAACGATGAAGTCCCTTGTGGAAGGGCTTGTGAGCATTTCCAAGGTATCAGAGGCTCGGGAGCTTGTTGGGCAAATGAAGGAGAGATTCACAGTAAATCAAGATCAGTGGAATGAAATTGAAGCAGGCTTGCCACAGTAACTACGCGAAAGATGGTTTATTGATATGCTTTCGTTAATTAGATTAGACCAGGAAGGTTGAAGTGAAATGAGGGCAACATTTGTATGAAATGGGCTTTTTCTTTCTTTCTCAGAACATAAACCTCTGTTTGAATGTTTTTGGTTTAGGAAATTTTGTTGATGCCCTATTTACATTTGCATGTGGATTCTGGAGAAATAAATTTAGATTTCTGTGTAGTGCCGGTTGGCTTTTATGTAGATGCTTGAATGTCTTGGAAGATAGACAAAAAGAAAAAAAAGAAGTATTTTTTCTACAAAGAATGTTGGAACCATCATACATTTGAATGACCATAGTTCTAGAAATTTATATCAACAATTCAATTACTGAAGTTGCTTTGGTCACTTTATATCGAGTAATTCTGTGCAGCTGACATCTTAACATCCTAACAACTTAGCATAAGGCTTTGATCAGAATCAGATTATGATGAGTGGCGGATGGAACAAAAGTGCTTAGCAGCTGCCTATACACATGCATTCCATCGTCGCCTGAAATGAATTCTGCTGAGACTTTTACAACGTAACTAAAAACCTATGTTCTCATAAAACAAAGTTAAGAAATTCCAAGTAAATCCTTTGCTGTAACAGTTGGTGACAAAAAAAAAACTTTTTGTTTGGTTAGTATGATGCCCATGACAATTTACATCTACTTGGGACTTCAGTCAGCTTGGCGAAGTAAAGCTCAAGAATCCTCTCAGCTCATCCTGTCTTTGCTAAGTCCCTCTGAGGAATGGGATGCAGCGAAGACTCGTGTTGAGATTGAAAGAGTCAATGCCACACCCAAAAAGGTAAGTTAGCTAATGGCATTCCAATAAGCTTCAAATATCATAGTTTGGGGCTTCTTCATATGATTAGCTTACTCAGAACAAAAGTTTTGTGATTCGCCTCGCCGGCAAATCTTTTAGCAACTCAACCCTCAGTTCACTTTTTAGCCCTCTTGTTCTGCCTAAGCTCATCCTCGTTCAAGGCAGCCACTGCCACCTAAAAACAGTCATGAATAGTGTAAGTATATATTCACCCATGCTGAACTTAGTCAATTAAGAAATATTCAGAAAGAGTGAATGCCAGTGAAAACAAAATTACATACCATTAGCTCTTGAACAACAGCAATAGCATGACCCAATTCAGCATTAGCACTAGTGATTAATTTGTTGTGAATTTTTCTTAGAATGTAGACATTCTTTGCCCGTTCTTTCTCTTTACGGTACATCAATCTCAATTCCCTTAAAGATGCTAATTGATTAACATCTTGTTCTTCAAGTGAATGTCTGCAATTTGCCCAACTGAAAGACAAATGGTTTGTCTCCACTGAGGCTTCAATATATAAAATAGAAAAATCATTTATCCCGTTCTTTGCAAGTTTCTCGAACAGCACAGGGACCAAGTTCTCTTCAAGCCACATCCTTATTTTCTCCCCACCATTCTGTTAAAATAAAAGAAATAATCTAAAGTTGTACACCCCAAGCTCAATTACAATCAGAAAGAAAGCTTATTGTCTGGTGCAATGAACATGTGTTTGATCAATGTTGCGCAAAATTTGTAAAAGAGCTGTTTGATAATTATATTTGTTAAAAAGCAGGAGAAACTCAAACATTCTATACATTTGAAAATGTTCATAAGATGCATGTTCATGGCACATATGAAAATGTGGACACGTGCCCTATACATCAGAATAAACATTTCTGAAAGTAAGATGGATCAATAAAAGAAAAGAGTAAGAGTCTACACAAAATGTGCACTACTGACAAGATTCAATATCCAATAAGATGCAATAAGATATGCATCTGCATGAGTATAACTCATATAAATGTTTTATTGTAATTATCTTGAAAATCATTATTTGTTCCTAATTTCACAAAGAAGCAGCTTTAGTCTGTGCAGTGTTAGGAGTAACGAAAAATCTAAATTGACAGTGAAGTGGAGAGAGTAGTGTGGAATGGTAGACATGAGGTCTCGCAGCATGCACAGTGGTGATCTGTCTATAGAAATGCTAAATAGACTATGGCTCCTTTCTCCTCTCCACAATGCATCTGAAGCTTGTTTATTTAGTTTTGCCAGCTGTTTGTTTGTTTTTCTAATAGAGTTATTGTTTCTCTTCCTTTTAATAGTTCCAATAAGAAAGATCATCGAATATGAAAGACATACAATTCTATCTCCAAGCCAAGTTGACCTCTGCACAATAATATCTAATGCAGCTTCAGATGGGTAAATGATGAGGCCCTTCTGTGTCATGCAGCTGGCAATGTCCCTTAGCTGGAGCCTAGCAACCGCCTTCAACTGCTGAAAGGACAGAGACCTAAATGCAATCACATCATCCACATTTTCAAGAAATTGAGGTCTGAAATGCTGTTTTGTCTGCGAAAGAGAAGATGTGAAGGTCATTTGGGTGATATGATAAAAGTTTCCCTTTAAAAATTCAACATACATCGACCTTCCAACACCTTACCTCCCTCAGAAGAGAAAGATAACAGTAATTGTGTTTTGTTTCCCATGCATCATCATATAACCCTTCTTTGACAGGGAACTTTTGAACTTCGTCTGCACATTTGCAATGCCATGGCCAGAATTTATCACATCCAACATTTGTTGTCATGATTACCAATGTTTTAGTGAAGTCAACAGTGTTCCCCTGACCATCTAATAGATAACCAGAACCTATAATCTCAGCCAGAATGTCAATAACAGACACATGAGCTTTGTCAACATTGTCAAACAAAATGACACCTAAAGGCCTCTTCTTAACAGCCTCTGAGAGCTCCCCCTTCATGCCTGGCCCCATGTGACTACAGGAGCAAAAGTCCAGAAATAATGCACAAATAAGCTCAGGAAAAATTTCAACCTGAAAAAAATATAAGAATACTCCAGTCAATTAACAAATTACCTTGAGAGGACACCAATTAGGCGCGAGAGAGAATTTGGACCTGTGTGTTTTGCCAGATCGAACTCTGTTATCATGTCTTTGTCTCCAAAAAGTAGTTCTGCCAAAGCTTTGGCAATTTCTGTCCTCCCATGACCGGAGCCACACATGAAGAGGAAGGATCCAATAGGGCGTCGCTGAGGCCTCTGCCTTGACAGAGCAGCAGTAACTGCATATAGGACGTGTTCCTGTCCAATTACCCTCTTAGCAATTCTTTGTTCAAGGTTCTGAAGCAGTGGTGATTCAGAAAGCAACCAAGGTGGTGGAGCATCAATCAAGGGGCTCACTGCCTACATGAATGTTAACGTAAAAACTATTGAGACCATGGAAATGCACCACTTTTGAATTTCTAATGGGTAATAAAGAGCCAGTCACCCAGAGTGTCATGCAGTATAGTCAGTAAAGGAAGAAAAATTCTAGCATAGGAGTAAGTAAAAGATATATCCACCTTCGCAATAACATGCGAGCTAACGGTTAGCTCATGCCTAAAATCTTTTCGAGTTGTATATAAAAGCTCAGTCACATGGTCATCAATCCATTGCAACATCCCAGAGAAATTGTTCACCTTCTTTAATCTTGCCTCATTTATATAGAACACCAACCTTTCGTGCATCCTTTCCAACAAAAGAGCCTCTCGAGCTCTGATGTCATATCTCTGCCGTGAAGTTTGTAACTGCATCCACTTCATCTCCAACTGGTTCCATGTACCCTTCAATTCTTCATGTTCCCTTGTCACCTGAATAACACCAACCCCACATTACATATTTCTCTGAAAAGCAGTGCAACTGAAAAGACCAGAAAAAGACCAATGTTGCCCATTACTAATAAGAGTAGCTTACACGATCACTCCATTTTTGGATGGATGGATCTCTCTCTTTCTTGATTTCATTTAACTCAACAAGTGTTCGATGCAACAGGTACTCAAACACATCTAGATCATCCTCTTCTTGTCTAGAGTACTCAAATTTATCCCTCATTTTTACACAAGCTTCCTCTAAAAGCTCAACCACCTTAATTTGCAAAATTTCCTTCTGGGTGTCACCAACTCCTCTACTATCAAACTGAAAAACTGAAAATAAAAAAAAGAGAAACCGGGACAAATTAATTAACGAAACGTCAAATAATATGGCATTGCCAAACTAATGATTGTGAAAGGAGTAGTGGTACCAATTGACTAACCATCAGGGTATTGCATGATGATGCGACAAGCAAGAAACACGGCATCTGCTTCAATTTCGACACCATAAGTCAGCTCTAACTTCTCCTGATCTTCAAATTGGAGTTTCTTAATACACTCTCCCATCCATTCCTCTGTATCCATCTTTGTCAAACCTTACAAGTTCAAGATAATTTTCAAGTCAGAAAAAAAAATGTAGGGGACAAGCCAACAAAAGAAACACGCCCAATTTAATTTAATTTAATTTTAAAAAAAAGATAAATACTGCACACGTTTCCTATTAGAAATAGAACTCTTCCCGAAGCTAGCAGAGCAAGAAAGATGGGAAAAGAGCTAGTCTTTAAATTGAACTAGACTTCTATGAAGTGCTCTGAGACTATCGCGATTCATTTAATTTATTAAATTCTCTAGCTTTTGGACTTGTGAAAACAAACCCAAACCCGACATTATCCGCAACAACATAAGACTTGAAGTTCCTACCTTTTCTCGGCAACGAAATGGAATTTCGGCTTAAACCGACAGAAATGATGCGCACGGACGTTGAATTTGCGTTTTCTCCTTTGACGGGAAAGGCATATGAACGAGAAAGACGAGAGGGACAAAGAAAAGAGAAAGCCCTAATTCTCACATACAACGTTAAAATCTTAAAACCCTAACCTGTTTTGGTAGTATCGGGAAGAGAGAGAGAGAGGAGTCCGCGAGATCGCTTAAAGCCCTTTGCTTTGCTTACTAGTTTGTAAAGAGAGCGCAAAGGAGGGAGAGTGAGGTTTTTAACTGCCAAATGCCAACCGACCTCACCCGGTCGTCCGAACCGGCTGGACGATCCCCACCAAGTCGTCGTTTCGTTCTTGGGTCTTAAAGCTCACTATTCTGTGGGGTTATGAGATCCCCAAGTAGGCCCAAAAAAGGTTGCACGAACTATTGGAACCATTTTCCAAAAATTATATCTTGTATTAAAAAAAAATGGGAGAAAAAACATTTTTGGTCATTGGGATTAATCTTGAATTTAAATTTGTCACCAAACATTTAATTTTCCCAATTTCGTACACTTCACGTTAGCAAATCAAGTCAAACATGTTACTTCTGTTAATTAACTTAAAACCCACGTGTCCAGTACGTGCAGAGGCCTTATTGAAACAAATTTTTTAATAAACAAAATATTAAGAGATGAGAGTTTGACATTGAAAAATAGGAACCAACACAAAACCTTATATGTAAAAATGAAGTTTGTATTGTAAAAATGAAGTTTTTAATACAAACGATATTAAAAAATGAGAGTTTAGACATTGGGAAGAGGAATTCGAACATAAGACCCCAAGCACAAATAACTGCTCTTAAGAGCTGCTTCTTTGCTTCATAACATTTTTCTCTTTTATAAAAATTATTCTTGTTATGACCAGACTTTGTGTCGAGAAGAGACACATACACACGAAGCATGTTCTTTAATCTCATTTGCACGCATTGAGAGTCTTAAGATCAGAAGAGAAATCAATTAATAATTCAAGTAACTGGTGTACGCGAGCTGAAAGAAGTTTTCAAAAACCTATACAAGCTTGGACATCCAACAACTCTTGTCCGACATCAGCAGCATCTGTTACAATTTCCTTTTCAAAATTTCTCTAATTCTATACAGGTCAGCAATCTATCCTTGCTACTGTTCACACCTTCGCTGAGTTGACATCCGTTGTCATTTCCTTCCACACAATCTTCGCTTGTAGCTCACGAGAACTGCAAGAGTGATTTGTTCGCCAAAATTCTTCTTAAAGTACATAGCTTATGTTGCATTTGAAATCCATGACGGTTGCAGACTGAAAGATTCACCGTGTTATTTGAATTAGGATTTCCGAGCAGTCAATGCAGATCTCCTCAAGTGTTGTGCTCCGTATGCTGCTGTAGAAGCCACTGTTGTTGATGCCACTAACCAACTGCAGCAATTTGAAATGAACAATAGTCTGTCTGAGCATATATAATATCAAAGAAGACGAATTACAGAGCTAAGGTTCTGCGCCAAATCACCTCAAGTATGTAATGTATATTTGAGTATCTTGGGTTCCAAACTCTGGTTGAAGCAGAGCTGCCGCAACTAAAATCAACTGGAAGACCGTGTTAAGCTGCCAAGATCCACAGTATTGGTTACAAAATTGCGGATGTCATCAAACAGCAATCACAACACGTGCGGTGATTTTATCCCAATAGAGCCTTGAGCACTGTACGAATGTAAAAGAACAAAACTTACCTTATCGGACCAACTTTTCCACTGACAAAATTCAAAAATGTCAAATCCAGATTTAGGCTACACGAGCAAGCAAGTTATTTTGGCCAAAACACTTATAAGACAGAGAGAAAGGTCTCACCTTCCACTCCAAGTTACTAGCTCTTTGATATACTGCACCACCAACAAGGCCAACATCACGAAACACAATGAGTCCAACAAGTCCAGCTTCAGAACACAAAAATCAAATGAAAAATTAGTTTCCCAACCACACAATCTTTTAAAACATCTAATTAAAGCAAACCAATTAAGACGTCAGAAACCAAAGGAGATAAAACCAGAAGGTAAACAACAAGAGGAAAATAAGCAAACATTAGCAAAGCATCTACTGATTTTGGTAGGTTCAGAATGCAACTGTGAAACACAAATCTCATTATGAAGCTCCCCAAAATTACATTGGAAAATTCCACAGGTACAATGATAACAAACAACATGTGCGGGTGAATATAGCCCCTAACCAGACTCTAGAGTATCCCTTCTTTGGGCATTTCTTTCATCCTGCTTCTTTACAGTTTTGGATAGTCTAAAATTTCAGCGCATGTGTGCATGAATATGCAGGTGTGGCATCTGTGTTCATATCCAAGGCTATAAAGGGATGGGGTTATGTGTGTCTGAGGGAGGAGAGGTATAAAAATAGATGTATGTAACCATTAGCAACAGCCTAATTAATTATCAATGTGATAAATAAAAAATGCATATGAATTCTGGCATCACCTTCCAAGTCTCATAGAAAAAAAAAAAGGGGGACTACTTGGTACTTACGGTGAAGAAGACCCTTATGCACCATGGCCAAAGCAACGCATCCAATAAGAACCTGTATCATAATTAAATGGAAAACGATCACATTTACTAGGTAATCGAAAACTATAATCGAAGTGTTACCTCTATCCTTCTGAGAAAAATGAAGGTACAAAAAAAGCTTATACCTTGTCAGCAAGGGGATCCAGGTAGGAGCCAACAACAGAATTGATCTTCATCCTCCTAGCCATGTATCCATCCAACTACACAATGTAAGGACAAATGAAAATCTCATTGCAGAAGAATAACATTCATCATTAAAGCTTAAACTGATGTCTATGTGAAATAAAGGCTTAGTAATAACTACCCAATCAGTTGCCCCAGAGATAGCCAACCCCACCATTGCAGAAGAATACCATTCATTTGCAATCATCCTGTATATCAGTTACAAATTAAATTCCCAAACTTGAACAAGAAAAAATTAATTTTCTTCTCACAAAATAAATTTAAAGCAGTTGCACTATTTTAATAACAAAATGTGTACCATCCAAGCAAAGGACCCGAAACTATCCGACTTATGGAGATCAAATTGGGCAAATTGACGAAATCATCACTGGCCTCTTTCAACCCGACACCACGATCCAATACGGTCGGAGCAGGCGAGAGTGACCCGACCTCAAATGGGAGCGGGAAGCTCGGTCTCCTCCGTAGGAGATTCAAGCATAAGGAAGCTTCGATCTTTCTGAGAACGACGCCGTTCCCACGAAGGTAGAGCGGAGTGGCGGACTGCGAGAGCTTCCATGGA